GTTATTTAAACAAAAGTATTTTAATTTTTGTACATTTTTGCACAATTTTTAAATACAATTTATTACTATTTTTAGTTATTAATTATAGTGAACGCGTGTCCAATCATTATGACTAAAAATAATATTTGCACTAATGTTAATTTAATTAATTCCTTTCACTTCCAAGTTTATTTTAAAATATTCATAATGTTTAAAACATAATTGTTTTTATGTCATTGTATGTTGATGTCTCATAAATTCATATTTTCTATTTATTTATTTATATACAAACAGTAGGAATTATTTGCAGAGCTTGATATATGGTAAATTAAAAATTAATCTATATTGCAAAACTCAAAACCCCATAGATTCATATATTGTAGACAAAAAATGTAAAAAACTTTTTCCGAAATTTGAATCCTTTTATTTTATTTGACACGCACGTAGAAATAAATTTAAGCCGAGTCTAAGGTCAAATTTTGCCCAGATCCGTCACTTATGTAATAGAATAAGCATTGAAGAAGTATTATATCTGAATATTATCACATATGGTTATATATTATAACACGTAAGTGGAGACAGAATCCGTCGATAGTGAGAGTGGGTGATATGGTGATAAACTGGGAGGATAGCGTTAAATATCTTGGCATCACGTTGGACAAATGAACATGTTCACCTGAAAAAATTTAGCTGTGCCAAAATTTTTTATTACCTCCAACCACTATTCAGAAATGAAAATCTCAATGCTAAGAACAGGAAACTGATATATAACCAAATAATTCGTCCGTCATTTCTATGTGGTTGTGTAGCGTTTAGCAAAGCTTCAAACACTGATATTCACCAGCTAGAAATTGCACAAAGCCAGGCTCTAAGACTTATCAAAGTTCCATGGTACATTAGGACATATGACATCCTCAGGGACATCAAGATTGATCCCATCAAAAAATACATAAAGGATAGAGCCCTGAAATTATTTGCGAAATCTGACAGACTAACCAACACCGCGTTATGTGTGTTGGTTATAGGCTCCTCGGGAAGGTATGCAGATCTGAGGTCAATTATTACTTAGTCTGATGAAGTGATAAACAATAATCTAGTCAAGGTGTAGAGAGGGATTTTGAAGAAACCTCGAGTTAAAAAAGAGTATAAGTACTCAAGTGCACTAGCTCAAAACAGCTTCAACATAATAATGGGCATATACATTTTAACATATGGAAAAAAATTCATAAGAAAATAATCATTTTCACTACAATTGTTGTGTAGATACTTAGACTGACAATAAAGTTTGTTTAGGTAACTATCACTGCCTTAAGTAATACCCCTCACCGAATATATGAATCTAATATCGACGAGCTTAAGAGCTCAAGTCTTTGGCAGTTTCGACAAATAAGGATGACTTCTTAAGGAAGTTAAGTCTATAGTTATAAGTAAGATTAAATCCTCTTATTCGAAATAAAGTTTTTTTTACACTCTAAATTCGAGCAATGTGGTTTAAAGACTAACAATAGCTGTTAGTAACACCTTGTTTCTCACCAACGAAGATGCTATATTCACACATTTTCCCCATTAATATTTATGTGTTTACACCAAAAATTACTTTGAGAATTTAGATGTCTGTTTAAATTAATATTTCGATGTACATAATATCGTCAACTAAATTGTATTAGATTGTTATTTACTTACTATTGTTTGGGTAATGCGGTCTGGCTTTTGATAGATTTTATAATAAAGCAAATCCCTTATTATGCAGACTGATTTCTTCCAGTTTTAGTTAGATTAGATGAGTACAGAAAAGTGATTCCTGTCGACTTTGTCATAAGAAGAAGGAAACATCAGAACATATCCTATGCTACTGCCCAGCGGCGGCACAACGAAGACTCGACTATCTTGAAAGCGGGATATTAGTCCCAAATCAAATAGGTAAAATTAAACCCACAGCAATTACGAGATTTATAAGTAGTCTAGAATTTTTTTAGTTTGGCCTTTAGGCGCACAATAGATCTTTTAGGTCGGGTGCATTTATAGTCGACAGTTTACTCTCTTTTTGCAAACTGTGGACTATAAGTGTCGACAGTTTATTATTGCATTCGCATTACTAGAATGGTGCTTCTGTGAAAAAATTTTGTTGGATGAGGGAGATTTTTAAAATAACGATTGTTCTGGATGTTATGCCGTAAAATAAGCTTAATTAAGATGTGTGCGATTTCGTAACTTTTGTAAATATTGTAAATATTTGTAGATTTGAAAGATTTTAAAGAGGGAAAATCCTTCAAGCCGATGTTCTAGCAATTCTAGTATAGTTATCTTTTTTTATTCATTTATTTTCTCGATACACATAACTAAAAACCACCATTCAAAAAATACTCTTACACAAGCACCGTGAGTTATTGGATGGTTTATTTTTAATTGAATTCAGCTAATCAATGGACATACAAAATAAAAACTTATATTACTTATAATAAAAACTTTATCTTATCTCTTCATATATAACTTGTTGTTAATCTTCTCATAAATCTAATTGCAAAATCTATTATTAGATTGTTCCAATTATCCTAAGTCGTAATTTTTTTATCTAATTCTATTTTAAAAACGTTTATCTCTTTATATGAAGGAAATGCTCTTTAAACAGTTGGAACCAAATTAAATTTGAACTCACGCGCACACTTCACACTATCACACAGTCATAAAATTTTAATTCCAATAAAATTCCTTAATGAAGCTTATAAACAAAATAAAATTTAATGTTATATTCATGATTAAAAAAAAAATATAAAATCATAAAATTAACTTAGAATAAAAATTAAAATAGTTCTAGAAAGAGGTAACCGGTTGTCTTGTGCGATTAATTTTTTAAATGCTTCTGACAGTTTTTATTTTGAATTTAATTTGATTACCTAAAACTTCTAACTTTTAATTTTATGCTTATTCTGAACTTTTACCAAACTTTTTATAGAACCCAAAACCTGTTCAACCCATAGAACGCACATAACTTTAGGTCGTAAATCTTTAAAATTCCATATGAATCTGGCACTGGTTAGTACGGTTATTTGTTGGCTAATGTGACTTTAAAGTCTGACAGTTTGATTACTCATGATTTTTGGTTTGATAACGACTATACCGGACAGCTGCCACCAAGTCTGGCATTAAGATGATGGAACATTCTTTTGATGTTCATGAGAATACATTAAATAATGAACTAATTAAATATTTAAATAATTAAATGAAAATCAAACAGTGTTAAGCTTTAATTAAATTAAGAAAAATTTAATTTTATTGTTAAGAAATAGCGGTTTAGTATTTATGTATTTCAGTAAAGTGACATATAATTATTTAGCGGAAATTTAATGAAGTATCATTCATATCTCCAAACTACTAGTATATGAGTAAATGTTAAATAGCTTTTAATTAACAAAAAAAAATTTGGATTATAATATTTAATGTATTTTTTAATGCTTTTTTAAATGCATTTTTATATACATTTAATTCATAGTTTGTAACATATTCAATTATGTCTCTGTGACATAAAGGTTCAAGTGACGAACATTTTAATGCCATAGTCACCTCACACAACTATGCCCTTTTATTCCAATTTCATGAGGCACTTTCTCTCCGAGATAAAAGCATATAAACATTTAGTATAAGTTGGCAATATACAGTTTATTTTAGTTAACAAATAACATACACTGACTACAAACTAATATTTTTAATTATAAAAAGATTGTCACGTATACAAAATCTTTGAGTTTTTTAATTAAATTTAAAAGACGAAAGTGCCGTCGAAAAATGTACAAAAATTAAAATACTTGTACATATACATGTTAGAATAAATAATAAATGAAAGAATATTTCGTTCTTTTGTTTTGTTGCAATAAGTGGGAAGTATCGACAGCCATAGTGTGAGACTTTAACCCACTAAATCCACCTCTTACAATTAATGGAGAAGATTTCCACCGTAGTGTGAAAACTTCATTCCAGTAATTAGATGAGAGAAATATGAGAAAAAGGTTTACTATTTACCGGACCTAAACCTAGCTTAGGTTTATCTAAGCTACAAAACAAAGGGCGTGCCGCAGGTAGATGGAAAGTAGGTGATTGAGACAGAGTATTTTTGCGTAAACGGAGCGGAGGGGGGAATAGTGGTAGATTCTGTGACTGGAGTCACGAGTGCCATGATTGTAGAGGGGTATTTTTAGGCATTCAAATCCCGAAGTGTTGTTGTGGGTTACAGATGATGTCTTGGACAAGGTCTGCAGGGAGAAGAAACTAAAGAAATAGAAGAGTCTTAAAAAATATTTTTTATATTTCAAAGTATTTTAACCAGTTATTATGTTCTGTAAAAATAATGAACTTAAAGTTTTACAATATATACTTATTACGTTATATATTTTGGAATATCTATAATATATTATAGATATAAATATATTATAGATCTATAATATATTATTACGTCATATAAAGAAAAATTGTATGTCTTTCGCCGCATAAGAAAAGTGAGACTAGCTTACATCTCCTTAAAGTAAGAGGTAAGCTAAGAGCAGTTACATATATACCTGCAGCCGTTCGCAACAAAAAGGAATCAATTAGGCCTCTTTGAGAGCAATTGAATGATAGACTATTATGTTCATAAGGTTATATAATCTAATATAGCATAGAAAAAGCGGAAATATAAGACGTTAGGATGACGAGATTGACATTCTGTAGCAACTCAAGTGTCGATCAAATACAAGAGTCAATGTAGTGATCATAAAACGGATTATAAAAGACACTCCAAAGTATGCATGATGTTCATGTCATGATGTCATGATGTTCAGTCGTTTCATACAAAATCTCTATGACTAATCTGTATTCTATGAATCCAGAACTATATATCATATATCCAACATCCAATATGAGCATAATCATGTGACCATTATATGTTTTTAATTCTTTTATGAATAAATAAATAAAAAAAAATATAATATCTACTCTTATTCACAAAACATGCACAACCAATCAGGCTTTTCTATAAATATGGAAATGACTTTATGTTTTTAAAGCACCAGGACATATTTTTTTATTTCAGGAATCGTAATTTTGGATGATTTGTCAAATTTTGTATATTTTTATACCTTATACAATAGTAAGACAATATAATATATCTTACAAGTAACAAACAGTTTTTAGGTTAGCAAACAAAAACTGTCGCAGGGGTACAACGTTTCTTCAAATCATCTCCAATTTCATTTGCCATTATCGCGTTTCTTCAGCAGTTTAGCATTTTTCTTCAAATATTTAATGGATTCATCAACGTCTAAAGGAATAAGATTCTTGAACACTTTTTGATGACGACCAAAATTAAGTTTTTTAGTCATCTATTATATTGATAATTAGAAAGAATAATTAATAAATTAGCAATATTAAGAATAAACATAGTATTTTCACCTGGTGTCTAGCAATAAGAGACTGTTCTAGTTGTATATCCTTCAGAGTTTTTTTATCTAATTTTGCGGTATATACTGCATCAGTCAATCCATTCATATCTTTACTGATGGAATTCGTAATTGGTGTACATAAAGGTTTTTTTTCCAAAACCACAGAAGTTTTTCCACTTTTCCTAGCATTATTAATACCCTTCTTCTTAGTACTTGTCTTAGAGGTTACATCACTGCCCTTTCTTTTTTTTTCCTTACCATCAATTTCTGTACCACAATTCGGACAAACTATTTTCTCTGACATCAATAAATCTACATTTGTTCTTGAATACTTTGTTAAGCGCTTACAAGTTACTGGCTTTCTACGATTGCAGTAGTTAGCCGTTGCCATTTTTATACTGAATCACAATTTAGAAAATTCCAAATAAAATGAAAAAATACATAATTAAAGGCCAAAAATAAATTTACTTAGATAATCAGAATATGAATATCTAAAATTTTTATACATAAGAAAAAAATTTTTGTTCAAAGAGTACTTGGATTAAAATATTTAAAAGGGTACAATTTTACAATTATAGATTTGGCGCTAAAATTACATTTATATAATTTACATTTAATTACATTTATATATCAATATATCAATGACGTGGAAAAGCACGTACAATTCGTGAATCATCCGGATGCAGTGGTTGTCGGTAAATTGTAGAAAAATGATTTTATGAAGAAGTTTTCTCTCGAAAACTGCCAGTGCTACTACATTGTTCTGTCATAATGTCCATGCTTCTGTGCCATACAGAAACACAGATAGGTTGAGTGTCCTATAGAGCGTAAGTTCTGTTTGTCGTAAAAGAACTCTTCATCCCAATTGTGTACTGAGCTCAAAACAACAGCCATTGGCAATGGTGATTCTTCGCCTGATTTTCAGGCTGATATCGTTATTGCGGTGCCAAAATTGATGAAATCTTTGACAGCTTCGAAAGTATACTCGCCAATCACTACACCGGCATCTGAGTGTCGCACATTTCTACCAGTAGCAGACATATACTACTTTTGCCCTTATTCACCGTTAAGCCCATATTTGCAGATTCCTTCTTGATAGTTGCAAAGTCAGCTATTACATCACCCGTCCAATGATGTCGTTGTCATCGTAAATTAGGAGCTGGATACATTTGTAAAATATGATTACATCACCTATTCAGAGGTATCACGAGGAGGCCGTGCTACAGCTTGAATTGAGGACGACGATTAGACACGTTGTCTTGTGTCCTCGTTCCCAGGAGCTCGCGGTCTCTATGACGTATTGCTCAGCATAAGAGCTGAGACTCAGCAAGATTATTTAGACTCAGCGAGATAAATGTGGCCTTAACTATAGGCGTTTCTTGGGAAAAATTAAAATTAAAACGAAGCACAATCGTTTATTCTGTGAAGCGAAAAAATATCTCTAATGAATCACTACAACCACTCTTAAGTTTTGCAAGCCTTTTGAAGATTCCTTCTTATTTTAAATCTATTCAATTCAAATCCACTTCCAATCAATCAAATATATAATTTCAATAATAACTCATTAAAATCTCATTCATGCTTCATCCATCATTCATTTTCATGTTTTTGTGTTAATAAAAATACAAATTAAGTTTTTTGCTTGCAATTTTTTGAATATAGAAGTATTTGTGGGTCAATCGATGTCAAATTTGTCTAAAAATGAAAGAGGCGTACATATCAAGATGATAGATTTTTTTTCCATAATTTATGTATTTATGTGAATGATCCACAACTCACCAAATAAGAAGAAGTAACACTAACGCATGTTGCATTTTTATTGTCAACAAACTATCTTTGGTAAATTTGGCAAAGGTCATCATAAAAATATCTGAAGGCACAAACGTTTAAAAATCTGTATTAATTATGTCTAATTTATTACAATCATTCAACAAATTTATTTATCAAGTCTTATTTAAATATTATTTGATTTTGATTTTGATTATTGATTAATTGATATCGACTTATCTCCTACAGGTGTCTTTGAGATATCTCGACATGGTGTTGCTTTGTTGCAATTCCACACACAATTTGTTTTGAATTCTTCTACTTTAAATTTAAGCCCAATTATACGATAAATAAAAAAAACTGTCAAATCAAAAATGGTGAGAAACCTACTACAAGACCATACATATTTGATCAATAGTATAAAGCAAGTAAAATATTTTGATTGCTTCATTCATAAATACCCGTATCGTAAATTTATTAAAATTAACTTGGACATAACATATCGTGTTTCATAAAATAATAAATTAATTGAAAAAAATCAATAAAATCATAAAATACTTTTGTTGCACAAATAAAAATTAATTAAAAAATATGATAATTATTTTATTATTTTAAACCACTTACGATTACGATTAGATAAAGATATTGTATAATTAAGATTAATCAAAGATTTGTGGTTTATTATATTAATTTTTTCATATTGAAGAGTTGTTATTTGGAGATTAAATTAACTAGAAGGTTATGTATTTTATACTTAAAGCTTTTGGAATAAAACTTTTATTTAACAAGAAAATATACTTTTTCTGTCATATGCTTTTTACAGGGAATCATCAGACCTCTACCATCCTTTTATATCTACCATCCTTTATCTTTTTATATCAATTTCGATTTCACAGCTAATATTCCTTCATGAATAAGTTTTTCACTCTATCTACTATCCTTCCAGTTTCAGCGATATTCTTGAACGATAGGTTTCATCCTAGTACTCAACAACAACATTCTAGTGTCCAACTCAATATCAATTGAATTTACAAATTTTTATTATAATGCTTTAATGCCTGGCGCGTTAGACCTGCGAAACTGCTAAAGATTGTAAGGACTTCAACTCATTTTGAATCTATAGATTTTCTTTAGACTGCACTCTTCAAATTACTAATACAATTAGGTTCCGAAACATTCAATATTAAAAATAGACTTTTATTTAAAAAAACACAGTTTTAAATTGCTTGTTATCGTTCTTCCCTACTTAGCTTCTATGTATAGACAAGCACTATTTTAAGTTGGAGCTCCAAATACCAATTTTTGTGTGAGCCTCAATATAAGGATTTTGGGTGGTGCGAAAACTTGTTTTATACACTTACATTAATAACTAAGGTATTTAGATAATTCCTCAATCATAATTTATTATCTATATTTAAGACGATTAGATTTCTACTCTGTACGAAACTCAACGTTTCGTATTAACAAGTTACTAAGTGGCGCACTTTTGATCTTTTCGAAGTTTTTAGAAAAATCCACATTGATGTTCGTTAAGTATGCAGAATGTGCTTTATTTCATTGAAGAATCGTTTACAAAACATACATCTATTAACATCGTAGGGGTCTGCTTATTTAAAACCATATGCCTCTTTTCTTATACAGATACTATAAAACTAATAGCAAAATAGACACCAAAAAAATATAGCAAAAAATGATGGTATCCAATGGAAATCTTGTCTGACTGAGCTTCCACAAAAAAAACTAAATCACTATTATTAATTATAATCACTTTTTAATATAAAATAATCACAGCATTCAAATCACATAAAGAGAAAGCCACCTTACAAATTAGTTTAAAAAAATCGAGATGAGAGCCATTCTTCCGAAATAACTTATTATATTTTATATTATTACATTTAATATTTGACAAATTCCAAACTCTAGTAAGATTTATTGAAGATATTATTGAATACATATAGAATTAAAAACCAAAGCTGTGTGGAACAAATCTTTTTCTGCCGCTGTACGTCCTTGTCTTCAATATTCTTCTTCTTAGTGTTCTAATGTTCTTCTTAGTGTAATATTTGACAAATTCCAAACTCTAGTAAGATGTATTGAAGATACTATTGAATACATATAGAATTAA